TGATAATGAGCTGTAGATAAAAGGCAGGAGGACAGCTGTTAGGAGGCACCAGGCTGTCGTTGGCATGGCTCTGAATGTTAAATACCACTCCAGTCCTGGGTTCTTTACGTTCTTCGCACCAAGTTAGTATCTTACAATAAGACTGCATGGCCCTTTCCTTTCAAATTGCCAGATACATAAGTCGTTTTGACTCTTTCTCAGCACGGTTTTGCTTTCTTTCCCTCCTTCTTTGCTTCTACACTTTTCTGCCTCGAATAGTGAAACAGCTACCTTTAATTAGTTTGAAAATTCTTGAACTTTTCGTCTCCCAACAGGATTGAACCTGCTAAGAGTAACTAGTGTTTTCTATCTGATAAATAAGGGGATTACAGCAGTAACTGCTGTCAGCATTTTTCTCATTTAAACAAATAAAGCTGACAAATGATGAAGTTCTGTGCTGCTCTGTTATGTTTAGAACATGCAGAGCGATTATTCATCCACTGCCAACATTAGTCTATCCACAACTAAACCATCCCAGAGCCTAGAAAGCTTATTAGCATATCAGTACCATAGCTACAGTTTTATATTCTGAGACTCTACTCCATAGCACAGGCTGATGGGCATAATTTGCACAATAATTTAAAGGGTTGGACTTTTCCATGCTTATTAGAGTTGTGCAAGTTATTGGATGTGATGCTTCTCTTCTTTGTGAGATACCATCTTTTATTAGTCTGGAAGTTTTGTACCACTACACCATTTCCTAGGGTCAAGTCAGCTGCCATCTCTGGAGACAGAAAAGTAGATAGCTGGGTCTGCTTGCAACAGATGGATGAGCCTCAGTAGAGATGGTAGGAGCAGTCACTTAAAATAAAGAAGCTTAGCTTAGATGTTTCCTAGATATGGATGTAGATTCACATATATGCACACTTACTGCCAGCATACGTAAATGCGTGTGCGCATGCACAGGGGCATGTGTGTGTGTCACAGATAAACTGGAGATTTAATAATGTACTACATATTGAGAAAGATATCTTATTAAAGCAGCATTATTTAGTTATGCTGGGTAAAGCAAGACAGATGTAAGGAAATCATAACACTTTAAAGATTCTCTTAGAAGGGACGCTCTGACCAACCAAAAACCAAGCAGTGGATGAGACTTGACAAAGAATGACAGAAATAGAGCGAGATAAGTTCTGCTCTTCGTGTGTGGGGACTTGTTTTCTCTTTGTTCTTCCCGGTACCCTATAAATGTCTCTGCATATATTAGTCAAACAGGTTTCAGGCCTTCTTGATCCCATGGGGACTGCTGTGGTAACTTGGCTGCTCTGTGCCCATCCTTGATACAGCTCCTGTGTTCCAGGCCTGTTGCCTGTCCTAAGCCCAGGTCCCAGAGGCAAACAAGTAGAGATGGTAGTCATTGTGTGACATTCCTCAAAATAGACAGTTCTAGGTTTTACCACTCTGCCTCTTCTATTTCCTTTCATGGGAACCAAAGTAGAAAAATGCTTGTTCAGCTTCCCTTTCCCCTCTGCCTTCTGTTTGCCTTGGTGCTTTCTTATTTTCTTTGTGGCCGAGTATAGCATGGTGTGCCTGTTTTGTGCTGGCTTTGTAAATTTCATGACAGTCATTTCTGTGTCTGCATATCTAATCACACTTGATAAAGATGAACTAGGGGTGCCTTTGTGGTGGGGATGTAAACTGGTGGTTTGAAGTTATGCACTCCCTGTTTACTGACTTGGATATGTGGCTCCTCTGAGCCATTCTAAGGTGGAGTAGATAAACTCCCAAGATGGAGAGAAAAACAACAGAAGAGTGGCTTAACTACTCTTTCAAGCTTATCATATGCTGCTTTAAAATTATATATAATGGGGTTTTATGACACCTTTTTGTAGACACCTATAGTCCTACTTGATCATGTTGACTCAACTTCACCCTCTCATTACCTTTTCTCTGTTTACTCCCCTCACTCTTTGCAGGCTTTGCTGTTTGTCTTCGTTGTGATTGACAGTTGTGTAATATGACGGTTTCCAGTCCCATGATCTTGTAAATAAATAGCATAATTTTGTTCTTAATGACTGGATAATAATCCATTGTGAATATATAGCACATGTTCTGTGTGCATTTATTTGTGGGTGGTCCCACAGGCTAATTTCATGACAGCTATTGTGAGTAGTACAACTGTTACCATTGCGCGAGTTTAATTCCCTTGGGTATATACCAAGAGTGTAGCTGGATCGTGTATTAGGGTTGTTTTATTTTTTTTTGGGGGGGGGACCTGCACACGGATTTCCATGGTGCCTGTGCTGTACCGATTTACAATCCCACCAGCAGTGTGTATGGTTTAAAGGCCTGCTTTACAGAGGATGGGTGTGTACTGACTCAGTAAGTGTCGCTGTCACACTACCACTGATCCACCTCTCCCTGTGGTGCCGGTATGATCCTTTCTTCTCTCCTTAACTCTAAAAAACAGATTATCCATTTGCCCTAAATTGAAGAGCAAGATGTAAACAAACCCTTCTCTCTATCTACCTCCTCACTCCTTATCTTCTAACTCTTCAACTTCCTTTCACAGTCTGTGTGCCCCACTCCTAGCCACTTTCTAAAGAAACAGGTTTGGTTTGGTTTTGTTCTTAATATATTTCATTTTCCCTTTACTATTCTCTTTTTTTTTTTTGTTCTTCCCCTTTGCTAACAGACTCTTTAATTTCCATGCAGTGGTCCTACTATGTTTTCTTTTTTCTATGTAGGGATGGGATCTTGGGCTTGTTACACACTAGGTAAATGCTGTCACTCAAGCTATACTTTCAACCCTTTATTTATGGACAAAGATGGCAGAAATGCAACAGTAACATCACCTCTAAAATTTTCATGGCTCTTTGTCCTGGAGAAAACTACAGATTGCAGGATGCAAGTCTTTAGAAAAAAGACTACAACATATAGGCATTTTCCACAAGAGGAGACATGGATTGTCAATAGGTATGGAGATGAGTGTTATGTGGTATGTCCTCCACACTCAGGAAGCTTACCTCACATTGTTCATGATGCTTTATGTGTCCATAGCTGATTTCTGTCACGTATTATGAATAATGGGTTATTGATTGGGTTGCATGGATGTTTTCCCCATGTATTTAATTCACCTCTGTTCTCACTTACTGTTTAAACCCTGCCAACAGCAGAGGCAGACTTGTATTCTATTCTTCCCATGCAGAGCCTGTGGCTCTTTTGGATTTTAATGATTCTTTTTCCCCCAATTGAGGTTGCTTTTCTACTACTTTCATGTTTTGTTTTGAAAATAGATTCACCAGGTGTGGTGGTGCACACCTTTAATCCCAGCACTCAAGGAGGCAGAGGCAGGTGGATCTCTCTGATTTCAAGGCCAACCTAGTCTACCAAGTTCAGAAGACCTGAGGCTAGACAGAGAGACCCTATCTCAAAAAAACAAAAGCCAAAACAAAAGAAAGAAAGAAAGAAAGAAAGAAAGAAAGAAAGAAAGAAGAGAAAATAGATTATTTTCTTATACAGTACATTCTGACCAGTTTCCCCTCCCTTTACTCCCCCCTCCCATTAGTTCCCCTTTCTTGAAACCCCCTTCCCCTCTGTTTTCCTTCAGAAAAGAACAGGCTCCAAAAGACAACAACCAAACACCACAAAACAGAATGCAATAAGACATGGCAAATTCTTCTGCCACCCAAATTCCTTTTGAATTTACAGGGGAAAAGACAAATTAGGCATTTGATTTTTCTTCAGTTCTTTCACATGTTAGTCTCTTTTCCATAATCAAGAACAACAACAACAACAAAAGTACACAACAAAAGACATTTCAAAGCCACAGTATGAGTTTGTAAGGCAATAGCAGAGGATGACCATCAGACACTCCATCTATATACCAACCATGGAGAGACAGATGACTTATATTTCAAGTCATTTTGTTTTGTTTTGTTTTGCTTTTCTTTGTTTTCTTGGTTGTTTGTCTACATCATGGGGATAGAAGAGGACATTCCATCTTTGGCTGATGTGCACATACTGTGGTGCTGGACTTTCATACTCTGGATTTGACTAAGTCTTCCTGTAGTGAAACCCACTGTCAGCCAGTGTCTGTGGGACAGAAGGGCATGAGGACTATAGATACTCCCACCTTGTTTGGCTAGGAGGAATATTCCCTTTCATCCTTGGCACTCCATGAAGGCTAGCCAACCTTCCTAAATAAGGACCCCATGGTCCTTGGTCAGAAGAATGAAGATGTTTGAACTCCCTAGTTAGAAGTCCCATGCATAGTTTCAATGATTGCAGGGAAATGCAGATTCATAAAAACCTCATTGAAAAGGTCAGTCTTCAGCCTTATCCCAGCTCAGATGTTTCTTTTTTACTGATTTCACAACCCTAACCCCAGCCACTAATAACACTACTCTGAAATTTTTCCTTGGTCCTCTGCTTAGACTGTTAGGCTTAGATCAACTCTCTGCTTCCTGTGTGTGCAGTCCATTTGCTTTGACTCCTATAGGCTTTGTTGTTCTCAACCTTTGATACCACTGTTTGGGCCACTTCTTGAATTTCTGGCCTATTTATACCATCCATCACATTTACATTACCTTTTTTTTTTCTTTCAAACCACACTATTACAGTAACCCTTCCTTAGCAACAAAACCCTGTAGCGACTATAAGAACTTAAAACTATGTCCCTGAGCTGAGTATGTAGAGATGATTAGGTTCGACACGCTACCATTGGTACATATTTCTCATGGTACATTTTGCACAAAGACCGAGAGCTCCGGGTCAGTGTAATGGGAACACTGTTCTATTGCATGGCACTGCGTTGGCTGATGGTACTTTGTGTGTGCGCTTTACAGCCTACTCAGCTGGTGGAATTTAATTAGCAGTAATATATTACTGTCACGGTAATTAAAACCTTGCCTTGATTAAAAACAGAATTGTTTAATTAAAAAGAAAAGGTTTTGGCCAGCCTTAACTTTGTGATTGAGAAGCACACTGGCCTCACCTGATGTTCTCTGTCTCCCCATCAGGATTGAAGGTCCGGGAAGTGTTTATCAATGTCACCAGGCAGCAGGTGGAAGACTTCCATGGGCCAGAGGACTACTGGTGCCAATGTGTGGCATGGAGCCACCTGGGGACTTCCAAGAGTAGGAAAGCTTCTGTACGCATAGCCTGTAAGTAACTTGGGGGTGACTTTTGGGGTGACCTTGGGTCCTAGGTCTATGGACAGAGTTAAATACAGGTAAAGAGGCCATTGGACATGTCCTGGGCTTTTGCAGAATGTAAATGATTGGAAAGCAAGATGGACTTGCCCATCTCTAAAAAATTCAGCTCTTAAAAAACTTATTTAAAATGTTTGCTCCTGTTCTCCAGAGGTCAAACACCAAGTCAGTTCGCCTAAGAGATTCTGCCTGAATTTTCAGAACTCAAATGTCTTAACAATGCCCGGAAAATATGCTCCAGAGAATAAGAAGTCCATACAAGTGCACTCTGCTTCTCCCCATCAATGATGAAGTTCAGGGCTGCACCACTCATGGAAAGAAGTGAACAGTGACTGTTCTGCTTTCCAATCAACAAAAATAAGGCATTAAACACATTAAGGAATTTTTATCCCTGCTGTTAAATCTCTTCCCTGTGAATCTTAAAACATGGAAATGGGTTTTAAAACTGCATTTGTTTGACCCAAGCATAAACTATTTTTTTAAAAGCATAGCTGAAAAATGATGGGGAAAGAAGAAAGGAAGAACAATTTCTACAGAGTCCAAGATTTCTGTATCTCATTTCAGCATCGATGTCTTTGTAATCTAAACATGATTTATAGTATATAAATTTCTCCTCCTGTAAGTGTCTTTATCCCACCCATTCCCATTATCCCACCTCTGTAGATCCTTAGACTCCTCCTTTTTATGGCTAAGACTGTTATAAAAAAATGCTATACAAGGAAACTGGGAGGTGCAGGGCAGAGATGGTTATTGTTGTTTTATTCAAATACTGCCTTTTGAGAGTGCCATAAAGAATATGGGACAAGAGGGACTTATCTGAGGACTGAAGGAATTCTTCATAGCAGATGTTGATGGTTTAGGGATTAAGAATAGGAGAGAATTGCTATTTGCAAAAGCATTTATGTTTCCTCAGAAATGAAATCTTCCTCTTAAAATATGCATTTCACCTTCACAATACTGGTACCTTGGGAGGCCTCTCTTTGATGCCATGTGGGTCCTCAAAGACCAGGAAAAAGAGGTCACCTCATAAGCCGTGTGCAGTGTGAGAGCCTTGGGAGATATTTTTTCTAGTAGTTATTTAGTTAATTAAAATTAGCCAACCAATATTTCATGACTATAAAGTAGCAGGTCAACTAAGAGATGAAGTATGTTTGCATTCGTTTGTCCTATAATAAGGCCAGCTCTGTGGTCCCTCTGTGGCCTCATTCAGGCCAACTAGAACATTTAACTCTAGTTGAGACAGTGTATATATCTGTAATGCTCAATCCAAACTGAGTAGCGGGAACAGCATGAAAGATTTCAACACTGGTTTATACAATTTCTTTCTTCTGAGCTTCATTTTTTTTCTTGTCTTCCTTTACTTCTCCAAGGCCGATGCCATCTATTCTTTCAACTATTATAAATACTTTCCCTGGTCTATGTTCACTTCTGGTGTCTTTTATCTCCATTCTTGCTTGCTTAAATTTTGATTGCCATGTGCCTGTTAGAACCTTATATTTTTGTTTATAAATTTCATCACAGAATGGTTCAAACCCACCTGTTCTAATTTTCCATTACCTAGACCTTATGCTTGGTCCTTCCAAATACCTGGGTGTCACAGGTGTCAACCTTGCCTTTCTGACACACAGCTCCCCTCATGCAGTCTGCTATTTTGCATGTGTTTTAGGACAGGAGAGAAGAGCCTAGATTCCACATTCTTCCTCAATTACTATTTCTGCCCTGATTCATCTAAGTTTTGTACAGGTGGACAGCATAGTTCATTTTCCATGTTCTTAATATCTCCATATGCGAAAAGGTACTTATTTCATAGAGCTGTTCTGAGCATTACTGGTGTTCAGGAGTACTAATTACCTAAACTAGCTGGCCCAGTGAGCACTCTCCAGCCATCACCTGATGATGTCTTATGCCATAGCTGCTCTATTACATGGGTTGATCTCCTCCGAACCTAATTAAGTAAGTGTCCTTGGTTAGCCTTTACTATGCTGCTCTTCTATTCACAATAAAAGAAGAGAAAAGAGAATATTAATAATGGAAAAGGCATTTCTCCTTATATCATATTCCTTTTAATCATTTGACCTTTGTAGAATACGATCCTTTTCTAATAAAAATCTTGTTATTCTCTCTGAAGATTTAAACTAATTTGTCCTTTTCATATGATAAGCACATTTGTACATAAACATATTTTGTCAAGTAAAAATATCAGAATGTCATTATTGCCCATATTATACAATTCACTTAATGTGTTCTTTAATAGTATTTGCAACGTATTTTTTAATTTCTTTATATACAGCAAGTTAGAGGCTCTTTAATTTATTTAAAAATATTTATGCAAGCCAAGACATAATTTGTCATTAAATGTTGCATTTGACTTGGGGACCAATGTGCATTAAAATGTAAATTGAAATTTAACTAGTGTAATGGCATCAAAAGTGTATGTGCTGATGCCTTCAGGATCTTACTTGGATGTTCTATTTGCTTGCAGGAGTAACACTTTAAAAATAATTTTCCTTTTTATTAGACTGAGAGAGAAGAGTTCTGACTTTTGTGTCTTTAAGTACTTCTTAGCAAATAGCATATTGCAGATGAGGATAGTCTTCATTCTCAATAAAATGAATAGGCAAATTAGATATAACTGTTAACATGTTTCCTCATTTTAAGATTGTTTTTTAAGTAATAGAGGCATCTCAATGTGCTAAATAATCATTGATAGATAAATGCAGTTTATGAACATGAGGACCATCATCCAAAGGGACTTAACAATTTACTGTCATCTTTATAGTACTCAGTAAACTGTTCTTTTTCAACATCTGATCTCCGTATGCTTCCTGCATTGAGCCAATGAGCCATTAAGGATTTAACAAATTTTAAATTGCATAGGGAAGAAGCTCCAAGGCAACTAGAACATTGAGCTGAGGGACCTAGTGACTGGAGCATCTTGATATGATCATGGCTGCTAATCTGTACACAAACACCAGGAGGCTCTCTGGGTGCTGCCAGTTACATGTTGTTTGACTTTAAAAGGAAGCTACAGTAAGAAAATTCCTCTTGATTTTCTTTTTTTTTGAAACAACGCATTCTTTTTTTTTAAACTTTTATTAATTACACTTTACTCACTTTGTATCCCCCCATAAATCCCTCCCTCCTCCCCTCCTAATCCCACCTTCCTTCCCCCTTTTTCATGCATGCCCCTCCCCAAGTCCACTGATAGGGAAGGCGCCCTTTCCTTTCTTCTGATCTTAGTCTATCAGATCTCATCAGGAGTGGCTGCATTGTCATCTTCTGTGGCCTGATAAGGCTGCTCCCCCCTCAGAGGGAGGTGATCAAAGAGCAGACCAATCAGATTATGTCAGAGGCAGTCCCTCTTCCCATTACTATGGAACCCACTTGGACACTGAACTACATCTGTGCAGGGGCTCTAGGTTATCTCCATGCATGGTACTTGGTTGGAGTATGAGTCCCTGGAAAGACCCCTGTGTTCAAATTTTCTGGTTCTGTTGCTCTCCTTGTGGAGTTCCTGTCCTCTCTAGATCTATTTCCCACTTATTTCATAAAATTCCATGCACTCTGGCCAACAGTTGGCTATAAGTCTCAGTGTCTGCTTTGATAGTCTGCAGGGCAGAGCCTTTCAGAGGCCCTCTGTGGCAGGTTCCTAACATGTTTCCTGTTTTCTTCTTCTGATGACACCCTCTTGATTTTCAAGACTCATCTGTTCCTCAAAGTGGCTCCTCTTGGGGGTAAAAGTAGCAGATGCAGAGCAGTGCCTCCTATAATAGATATTCTGGGTTACACTATGGAAGAAGGCCCAGGCAACTGTACATATTGTTAAGGATTTTGTGAGTCAGTGAAGAGATATCATTGGGCTATCTTGCATAGGAACAATATTTCCAAAACTTAAACAGCCATCATCATACCAATCAGCAACCAACATGGTCCTCATATAATGCTGGAGATTCAGTTCAAATAACTTAGGAAGCCTAGCATAAGGTCTCTAGTTGATAATGTCTAGTGAGCTCCCTCAGTGTGAATGCTGCTAGTTGGTGTATGTCCTGTACTTCTGATAACAAGTCCTGAGAATTTTTGAAGGAGTTTTTACTTACTCCAGTTACTATTTCATGTGCCTGCTTTGTCCAACTTGTTGCAAAAAGGTAGAGATAATTCCTGAAAGGGAAGGTCACTTAGCCATTAGCAAAGTGGTGCAGAGCCCCATCTGTCTGCCGAGGGTATTCCCTTGGGTATTTGTATTGCTAAGCCCTATGTGTTGTCTTCTGTTAAGAAACCTGAGAATCATAATAGGAAACTTCATGAGTGTTTTCTTGAGAAAAGTGGCTGTTATTTTCCTCTTTCTTTCATTTATGAGTCATTTGTGAACCTCCTCGTGGTCAAGTTCTAGTGTGTAAACATTCTGTGTTGGGAGCCAGTGTGCCTGTTATCCATCGTAACTGATTTTTCCATAATCACTCTATGTTATAACAGGGAGAGGTTGGCTGGCAGTCAACTACTGGGGCTGGAAATAGGTGAGACCTAGTTAGCAAAGTGAGTTTAGAAAGGTAAAAATAAATAAATAAAGGCAGCCTACACTGACCCCCACCACGCTGGCAGAAGTCTGTCTGTGGGGAACGATTCCCACAGGTCCTCCCTCATCAGTCTGGTTCACTTGGGCTGGAAGAGACCGCACGCAGCGGCATCTGCTGCTGGACCACTGTCAAAACCAGGAATACTCAATTATTCGTAGTTGTTTATTTTCATGGATGAACATTTGGCGGCTTAGAGCTCTCTTTTATTCCCTGTTTTTCTTTTGCTCCTTCATCTGCTGATGAGGTGCTGTGCCTGTAGCATTAGACCGTTCTTGACACTTGGGCACTTTTCCTAATTTGGGACTGAGAAATATAGACTTATTCCTATGCTATAATTGAGCCTATTCTAACAAGTTGGTCACTTGAAAGAGTACGCAG